GTGGTCCAACAATATCCAATCCCCAAAGCGCGAACGGCCAAGGACTTGTGAGAGGGAGCAAATCTCTAGCCGGCTGGTGGATCTGGTGAGCGAACTTTTGACACTTCTCACACCTGCGAACATATTTCTGTGCGTCTGCCTGCATGCACGGCCACCAGTAGCCTTGGGAAATTGCTCGGTATGCCAAGGACCTGCCCCCAGTATGGCTTCCACAGATGCCCTCATGTATTTCGTAGAGAAAAGTCTCCACTTTGGCGGGGTGGACACACTTCAAATACGGCCCGGTGAAGGACTTCTCATACAAGGCTCCAGATGGGGAGAGCCAAAACCGATCTGACTTTGCTCGGATTTTGTGGGCTGCATTTTTTTCTTCCGGTAGAACTCTGTCTTTTAAGAAGGCGATGATGAGATCCATCCAGGAAGGACCCAAGTCGGGGCAGAGCACCTCGGTTGCTTCCGGTTCCTCAATGCTTGGCCAGGGTAAAAACTCTATCATCAAGGGGTTAGGAAAAGCTGTCTGAGTGGAGGCGAGCCCAGCCAATTCGTCAGCCGAGTTGTTTTCTTCGTGGTTGATCTGTTCCACTCTTATCGTAGGGAACTTCTTGATTTCTTCTCGCACCAACGCTTGATACTTGGCCATTCTTTCATCCCTTGCCTCATACTCCCCTGATACCTGATTGACCACCAGTTTGGAGTCGCTGAAGACCATAAGGGCGGTGGCTTTCATTCTTAATGCGCTTCTCAAACCGGCGAGGAGGGCTTCATACTCTGCCTCGTTGTTGGACACCGGGAATCCGAGCGTAATTGCTTGCTCAATAATCAGCCCATCTGGTGAGGTCAGCACAATTCCTAGGCCGGCCCCACGCCTATTGGACGCTCCATCGACGAAGAGCTTCCACATCTCGCCAATGAACAGCTTCCAACAATCAGACGGGTTTTGGGAGCTTCTCAATTCAATGTCTCTGGCCGGCTCGTTCTGGTCTTTTTTCTCGTCTCCATTGGGTTCATCTTCCAACGAGTTTTCGGACTTTGCTAGTTCGGTCAAACTTTGCCCTTTTCCCACGTGCGAGCCAACGCTCGTCTCCGTTGCCAAAACCTTGGGTTGTGCTAAATCCGCACCAACCAAATCAATTGGGCAAACTGGATGCGTCCCAGGGGCAAATTCCGCCACAAAATCTGCAAGAGCTTGAGCTTTGACTGCGGTGCGCGGGCGAAACCTGATGTCATATTGCCCCAATTCCACGGCCCACTTCAGAATTCTCCCGGTGAAGTCGGCCTTCTCAAAGAGCACCTTGAGAGGGAATTCGGTCAGCACAACTATTGTATGGGCATGAAAATAGTGTGCCAACTTTCTCGACGCCATCATTAAGGCCAGCGCCAATTTCTCCAAGGGAAGATATCTTGTTTCGGCCGGGAGCAGGGTCTTGCTTACATAGAAGATTGGTAGGTGCTGGATGCCTTCAGCACGAATCAATATCGCGCTCACCGCGTGTTGAGAAACAGCCAAGTAGAGGTACAGCTCTTCGCCCGGCTGAGGCGTGACCAAAATTGGGGCTGAGGAGAGATACGCTTTTAAGTCCGCCAGTGCACGGTCACACTCTTCATCCCAGAAGAACTTGGACTTCAGAGTTTTGAAGAAGGGCCTGCAACGATCCGAAGACCAGCTGATGAATCTATTCAGCGCAGCTGCCATCCCGGCAAGATATTGCACGTCCTTTGTAGAATTCGGGCGCTCCAGCTCTTGTATCGCTTTGATCTGGGATGGGTCGACTTCAATCCCTCGGTTTGTAATCAGAAAACCCAGAAAATTTCCAGTGCCAACTCCAAAGGCGCATTTGGAGGCGTTTAGACGAAGCTTATGGTGCTTTAGTATGGCAAACATTTTTGCTAGGTCGGTGAGGTGTTCAGACTTCTCCTTACTCTTTACCACCATATCGTCGATGTAGGCCTCCATTGTTCGGCCCAAGAGAGAAGCGAACATTTTTGTAGCCATCCGCTGAAAGGTTGCCCCGGCGTTCTTTAGTCCAAACGGCATGACTTTGTAACAATATAATCCTCTGGGGGTGGTGAACGATGTAATCTCTCTGTCCGGTTTATACATGGCTATCTGGTGGTAGCCGCGATAAGCGTCCAGGAAGCTAAACCTCTGATGGCCAGCGGTCAAGTCCACCAGCTGGTCAATCCGAGGAAGGGGAAAGCTATCCTTAGGACAAGCCCGGTTGACAGTCTTGTAGTCAACGCAGACTCGCCACCTGCCATTTTTCTTGGGAACAACCACCGTGTTGGATATCCACCGAGGGTATTGCACTTCTTCTATAGCCCCGGCTTCCAACAAGTTCTTCACTTCTTCTGCCACCACTTCAGCATGGTGCAGGGCTAAACGGCGCGTCCTTTGAATGACTGGCCGTGCGTTGGGGAAAACATTCAACTAATGATAGATGAAGCTCGGGTCGACGCCAGGCATGTCGTAAGGCATCCAGGCAAAGGCCTCTAAATTGGAAACCAAGAAGTTGACATAATCCGCTTGCTCGGCGCTGGACAAAGATGATCCCAAGAGGAAGAATTTAGTTGGATCATTTTTGTCAAAGCGCACTTCCACCAAATCTTCGACCGATTTTTCCTCGGCCTTCCTTCCCACGTCTTCAAGGACCTCTTTTTCCTCGGGCCCCTCGATCATTTGGACAAACCCTTTGGCTGCTCGGCTGCCATTTACCGCAACGAAGCATTGTTTTGCCATCACCTGGTCTCCCCAAACTTCCTCTATTTGCCCACTCGACGCCGGAAAGCGCATGACTTGGTGGAAGGTCGAGGCAACTGCTTGCATGGTGTGCAGCCAGCCCCTACCTAAGATTAAGTTGTAGGTGGATGGAACTTTGAGCACCCAGAACTCCACTTGCTTTACTACTGAACCCGCTTTGACCGGCAAAATAATCTTTCCGATTGGCCACTTCGGTTGTGAGTTGAAGCCGACCAAAGGAGACGTCGCAGGGGCCAAGTCCTTGTCTTCTAACTTCATCTGTTTGAACGCGTCATAATACATGATTTCGACTGAACTCCCTTGGTCGATCAAGATTCTCTTGATATCAAAGTCCTTGACGCGAAGAGTAACTACTAAGGCATCATTGTGCGGCATCTGAACTCTTTCCAAGTCCTTGGTTGAGAATGAAAGGATGTCCCTTTCTTCGGTCTTTCCTTTCTTCACAGCGGGCTGAATAGAGAGCACTTCCCTCATGTGCTCGGCCTTCTTGATCATCCCCCCCAGCTCGCAAACCCTGGCCGGTTCAATGATTCCGAGGATGACGTTGATTACACCTTGCGGGGGTGCTTCTAGGGCGGCCAGGCCGTTTGGCTCGACTTGGTCTGCTGGCGTGGCCTTGATGCCCCCAGCTATGTATTGTTCAAGATGCCCCGCCGCCACCAACTCCTCTAAGTGTTGCTTGAGCGGCAGGCAGTCCTCTGTTCGGTGCCCCCGTTCTTCATGAAAGGTGCAACGATATTTTGAATTGAAGCCTCTCTGGGCACTCCCCAACTTGGCCGGCCAACGGACGAAGGGTTCGCTTCGAATCTCGCTCAAAATGTGGTAGATGGGGATTTTAAACACCGTGGTGATCCCAGTCCGCGCCTTCAATTTTCTTTTGGCATCCTCCGCTGCATCACGGGGAGGGTCTGCCCGGTTGTTTCGGCGGCCCTTGTTTCTGTCATCACGGTTTGGACCATGGCGCGGGTCTTTCAACCGGTTGTTTGGGCGGCTATCCTCCTGCCCAACTGAGTGAACTTTCCCCGCAACCCTCCTGTCCACCGTGACCGGATTAACCTTCTCGGTCGCGGAGGCGGCATCATCCTCCACACGAATGTGCTCATTGATCCGCTGCATCAATGACTTCATGGTTGTAGGTTGATGCATCGTGAGTGAATCTCGCAGCCTATATCGTGATCGCCAGATTGGTGGGGCAGTCGAGGATCTCATTGTAAGTTTCCCAGTACTTCGCATTGTATGCCTTCAACGAACACCCAGATTCCATCTTCACGCCCAGGAGATGGTCGACCTCCTTCGGCGTTCGAGTGTTGGTCTTGAATCTGGTGACGAAGGCTTCTGCTAGCTGTTGCCACCCCTCTATACTCCCCTCCGGGAGCCTTTCAAACCACTTCAGACCCAGCTCTCCCAAGCTTGCTGGGAATATGAGACACATCAGAGCATCGTTGCGCCGCCGGTGGCCAGCCATCACCTGCCGATAATGACTCACGTGCATGTACGGATCCGTTTTGCCGTCGTACAAAGTGAACTTTGGCTGGTGGAATCCGGCGAGGAGTGGCGTACTCTCAATCTCTGGAGACAGCAGCGTGGCTATAAGTCGCGCCAGCTCTTTGTCCTCCAGCGCAGGGGCCATCACTTTGGGGGCTGGCATCGCCACTTCCTCACTGTAACGCACTGGAGCGCTTAACCTCTGCAATGCCGGCACTCTTCGAGCCTCCCGACAGCGCGCCCTCTCTTCCAATACATCCATCAAGTCCCTGGAACATGTGGAGAAAGAGGATCCCGTCGTCGGCGTCAGGCGTGAGGGGCGGTATGTGTTGTCGCTAGAGAGGGACCTACCCTCCCCTTGGTTGGAGCCTCCAACCCCATAGTTCCTGGCGATGGAGAGAGAGTGGGTCCTCCCCTGGCGGCGACTGCTCCAACGAGGGGACGGGGTGCGCTCACTGAGGTTGCCCTCTCCAGCAACACCCTTCCCTTTGATCTGGCGTTTCAGCAGCTCCATCTCTGCCGCCATCTTGCGATGACGGCGTCTTGGTCCTTGAGTTTGTGCTCCAGGCGCTGCGCATGGGACTCCTCCCGGCGTCTATGGCTCCCAGGACTCTGCGAGCGATCAGCACTCCTTCTGCGTTTGTCTCACGCACACCGCGAAGGAGTTTCTAGGCCTGCCATGGCTGGAATATTCAGAGGACCTTCTCTCAAGCGGACGTACTCAGGGGTGACGCCATCGACGACGGACAGTGGGGCTTCGCCGTTGTTGATAATGGAAATGATCGAAGAAGCTCTGAGAACAAGGGTTGAGTATCAAAAAATTTCCCACAGACGGCGCCAATTGTACGGGGGCGAAATATCCTCTGCTTTCCGTACTCTTTGTACTCTGAGCTTCTCTTGACGGCGTCTATCTCTGCAACACAAAAATGGTGAGCTGCCCGGCGGTGGTGTACCGGAAAGACCCTCCGACGATCAAGTCAGACCACTAGCTAAAGAAGAAGGCTATCAGAGAGAGAGTTTTTGATAGGATGAATTCGCTTACCTCCAACGTCCCTCTTCCTCCATATTTCTAGGTTGGCCATGTAGCCTCAAGATTGTGCGCGCACTACCTCTGCTGTCCTTCCCTGGACAGGTGGCAGTGCTCGCCTCTCACTACCTTACGTGTGTAAAGGCTTAGTCCTCCCTCCAGTACACACAGAACTGCCCAACGGTATTGAGGCGTGCGTGGAGCGGATGTCCTCTCCTTCACGCCATTGGCCCAGGTGGCATACTTAACCGGAGTACCACGACTGACCTGTCACTTGCGGAGAGTCGCCATTACATGCTCATAACCGAGCTATGTGTCGCCGACCTATAACTTGGAATCAGGCGAAAGCCTGCCCACCTCGGCCGAACTATCATTGGTCGGTTCATCGTGACCATTCGATTGCGAGCCATGCCGGCCTCCAACCGGTCTACCTTCAATCTTGGTCACACGAAGCCACTTTATATCGACTGACCGATCCAAGGTGCACCGGCCTTGATCGCGCCCACGGACTAGCTCGGGCTACCTTTTAGCCCGGTCAGCATCCGCTAACCCAAGCTCCGTCCAACACGTTCAAGACGCAGCTCAGCTATGCCAGTTGGTGCCTGGCTAGTCAATATTTCCGACCGTGCAAGGCAGGTCGCTGGCCATGTAGACAGAGATTAGCTCGGCGCTACGCAGTCTGTCACGTCTGACGTTATCTCAGCTCGGCCGTACAGACAGGTGCAAATCTCCCCTCTCAATAACTATATGCACGTGGAGGTATTGAAATGGCATCTGAGAAGAAGAGGGCTTAAGTAAGTTTAGGGGCTCAATTATCATTGCTTTTTTAAATAAACAAATTACTAATAACCGATCGGGAAGTTTTGCCTATTCGTCCATTGCATATAGTTGGATAATTTGAATACTAACTTTTACTCAAATTTCACATACATGAACAATTCTAATAAGTCAAGTCATCTTAGAGGGAGAGAGATATCAATCTAACCCTAAGAGAGGGAAATTAAATTTGATATTGAATATAGATTTTGTTTTATAGATCTCTTTAGATACATTTTGTAAACATAATATTTATGAAAATCAGATGTGTAAAACAAAGTAATGAAATTTTGAAGTTTTGAAACATTAAAAAAATAAAATAATTACTTTACTCTTTAATTTGGTTGTTATGCACAAATCACGCATTTTAATAAAATAAGAGTATTACGGCTAAATAGGCTGATTCATAGAACTTTATAGATTTTTGCTTTTAAAATGGAAAAATAAAAGATTTATTGATAAAAAGAATAGTATAAGTTGTACAACGAAATTACATGAATAAGAAGACTTAAAACAAAAAGCATGACTTAAAATGGGTTAAGTAATTTTTTGGAGTACATAGTCTATTATAATTTCACATACTCATCTCGAAAACTTCTCAAATATAATTTAGGTATTACCAATATTTAAAATATATGTATACAAACACATTATATTGATACATTTCACATTGAATTTGAGACTTGAGAGACTAGCCATGGAAAATTTACCGTTGTGGGATTGTATGGCCTTTTATGACGGACTTAACAAATAATCAAATAATCTTTGATGTGTATATATATATATATATATCAGCAAAAAATAAATTTTATTTATAAAAAAAATTTAAAAAATTTAAAAAAAGAACATAGTAAGCAAAGCAAGGCAGAGAAAACTAGTGCATCATTGTTAACCCAATGAATCACAACTAGGTTGGCAGTCAAGAGGCAACCAATCATTGTTACCTTCTTCTAATATTACTATTATTTTCACTTTAATTAATTAATGACTGCGTCCCCCTTAGCTTTGCCTATTTAATAAATTCATATATAGAGAGAGAGAAAAGTCGGCCAAGGTCGGCTGTGATTAAAATGAATGTGAAATTTTAATGGACCAAAATGAGAGACAAACATTGATCTCATGTTTAAAAAGTGGGAATCCCATAAGCAAAAGCCAAAACTGAATATTGGAATCCCATAGGGTGGGTGGTGTGGTGTGGTGTGGTGAGGGATCTATGGGATCATCCTCCAGCTGCTGTGGTTATGAGAAGGTCCATGAGGGGGATGTGAATCTGATGAACACTAAAGCTACTGCTTGTTTCTGCATATTTATTTTTGAGTTTAATTATGTTTATCTATGTATCTAAATTATGCTAAAAATTTAAGAGGAAATCTTTGGTGTATAGGATGACAATTGGTGCAGGAGGACCGGAAAGACCCTCCGACGATCAAGTCAGACCACTAGCTAAAGAAGAAGGCTATCAGAGAGAGAGTTTTTGATAGGATGAATTCGCTTACCTCCAATGTCCCTCTTCCTCCATATTTCTAGGTTGGCCATGCAGCCTCAAGATTGTGCGCGCACTACCTCTGCTGTCCTTCCCTGGACAGGTGGCAGTGCTCGCCTCTCACTACCTTACGCGTGTAAAGGCTTAGTCCTCCCTCCAGTACACATAGAACTGCCCAACGGTAGTGAGGCGTGCGTGGAGCGGATGTCCTCTCCTTCACGCCATTGGCCCAGGTGGCATACTTAACCGGAGTACCATGACCGACCTGTCACTTGCGGAGAGTCGCTATTACATGCTCATAACCGAGCTATGTGTCCCCGACCTATAACTTGGAATCAGGCGAAAGCCTGCCCACCTCGGCCGAACTATCATTGGTCGGTTCATCGTGACCATTCGGTTGCGAGGCATGCCGGCCTCCAACCGGTCTACCTTCAATCTTGGTCACACGAAGCCACTTTATATCGACTGACCGATCCAAGGTGCACCGGCCTTGATCGCGCCCACGGACTAGCTCGGGCTACCTTTTAGCCCGGTCAGCATCCGCCAACCCAAGCTCCGTCCAACACGTTCAAGACGCAGCTCAGCTATGCCAGTTGGTGCCTAACTGGTCAATATTTCCGACCGTGCAAGGCAGGTCGCTGACCATGTCGACAGAGATTAGCTCGGCACTACGCAGTCCGTCACGTCTGACGTTATCTCAGCTCGGCCGTACAGACAGGTGCAAATCTCCCCTCTCAATAACTATATGCACGTGGAGGTATTGAAATGGCATCTGAGAAGAAGAGGGCTTAAGTAAGTTTAGGGGCTCAATTATCATTGCTTTTTTAAATAAACAAATTACTAATAACCGATCGGGAAGTTTTGCCTATTCGTCCATTGCATATAGTTGGATAATTTGAATACTAACTTTTACTCAAATTTCACATACATGAACAATTCTAATAAGTCAAGTCATCTTAGAGGGAGAGAGATATCAATCTAACCCTAAGAGAGGGAAATTAAATTTGATATTGAATATAGATTTTGTTTTATAGATCTCTTTAGATACATTTTGTAAACATAATTTTTATGAAAATCAGATGTGTAAAACAAAGTAATGAAATTTTGAAGTTTTGAAACATTAAAAAAATAAAATAATTACTTTACTCATTAATTTGGTTGTTATGCACAAATCACGCATTTTAATAAAATAAGAGTATTACGACTAAATAGGCTGATTCATAGAACTTTATAGATTTTTGCTTTTAAAATGGAAAAATAAAAGATTTATTGATAAAAAGAATAGTATAAGTTGTACAACGAAATTACATGAATAAG